TTAGCGTTCGCTCTCTTACATGTTAGTGTATGTTAGCATTCTCGCTATGCTACATGTTAGCATGCTTGTTAGCGTTCTCTCTCTTACATATTAGCATGTCTATTAGCATTCTCTCTATCTTACATGTTAGCGTGTATCATAGCTTGCTGGTCAGTTAGTTCATAAGACACCTGTTAGCAAATATATTGATTTACCCACTGGGTTGTAAGGCTGCATGTAGTGTGACTTGTAGTATATTAGCTATTTTAATTACAGTCCAAAAGTCTAAAAACAAAAGTGCTTAAATGTAGTTTAGAAATGCATATTTTGTCACAGAAATCTGTACCTTAAATGGTTGTACAATTATATGGTAGTTCCAACTGTAACATGTTTATTTGCTATACAAACAAAGGCAATATAGACGTGTGGGGTATTAAATTTGTGTTTAGTTGTATTGTTTTGTCGGAAGATCAATGGTGCCCCAGACCAGATCAGACGAATTCATAATGTCACAGGTCACTGAGCCAAGCAACCTCTCTGGGCTTCAGCTGTCAGTGAATTCGTTCGTGCTCTTTAGTCCACCCCCAGCCTGAGGTGGTGGGAGGTTTAGCCAGTTTGAGAACCTGAGTGATATTTACGCTGGGGTCCTCCCCTGCATGCGGCAGAGTTCACTTGTGGCCAAGCTCTGATTAGGGGAAGTTCCCCCTCTGTTAAGACGCAGCCTGTGAGGAAGAACAAACAAACACAACTGTAAAAGGTGCTTTTCTCTTGCTCCGTGGGCACTAACTTCTAGACTCAAACAGCCCAGCAACAACTTGACACCTGACTTCAAAAATGACTCGTCAGCTTCCTGCATGCAGTCAGACCTGCTTCAACAGGACTAGTCTTTGAGTCTTTTTTTCCTGGGTGTTTGTTGCTCTATAGTTCTTTAAGTCCTGCTTTTGCAAAAGGCGGCAATATATTGAACACTTAAGGTTTGGGCTTATCAGTTGTATAACTGATCTTACTCACTAACCAATGCAGAGCCAATTACACAAGCTATGTGGGACAAAGTAAGCAAGACACATGGACGGATTCTATGTTATGTCAGCATGGTTGTGCTGGATTGTACTTTCAATGTTTTTTTTATTTTGTGCATGGTACATTTATAGTATGAAGATATGCATATGGTATATGCTCCGAGTATTTGAACAGTATTTTATCTTATACTATGGTACTTTGTTCCGTTACCATAGTATTCTGTCTCACAGTTTTTATGTCAAACCTGTATTGGTTCTTTGATATTTGGTACTCATTGTATTGCCCATAAGTACATAGAATATAGTAATTGTATTGTAAATATTGGACTGGGATCCAGTTGTACTGGAATTTTACCTGTGTAACTCACAGAAATCAGTATTTATGATGACATTTTATTTTTGTCATTTCAAATAAAGACACTGTTTACAGTGTGAACAGTTTTGTTTCTGATTTTTTGAACATGTGTTTTGATTTAAAAAAAAGTTTTCCTTCAGTTTTTACTATTCAAACACTTGTATTGGTAAATCAATTGGTTTGATGTATATTGGTGTTTTCTTCACTAAGCCAAAACAGATACATTTCATGAATGGTACACTTAATGTACTTATGTATAATTTCACTGCTTCGTCATTACAATACTATGGTAAATAATATGTAAAATACTATTGAAAATAAACTTATATTACCATAGTATAGCATATTTAAAAACATGTTATTACCATGATACAATA